CACACACACACACACACACACACACTAATGAGGGCTGATGTGTATGTTGTTTACACACGTATCGTGTGGGCCACACAAACACACACTTTTCACACAAAAAGCAAACAGAGGAAACTGCTTTTGTAGGAATTTCTTCTCAAATGATGATGAGAACAGAAGAGCATTTATACAGTGTGTATGTGTGTGTGTCACATCAACATGAAGCTGATTGTCTGCGCGCACACACACACACAACACAGTGTGCACTGCAGGAGGTTACTGTGATTTTATTCCACTTCAGAACAGTGTTATTTACTCTTTCATGCACTTGACGGTTATACATGGATGTGTGTGTTGTGTGTAATATGTGTGTGTTGTGTACCTGTTCCAGGTGGCGTTGGTTCCTGCTCGATGCTGCTGGTTGTTCCTGTCATCCAGCGCTGATCTCTCTGACCGACCCAAATCACTCAGACTGGGAGAACTCATCAACTTCAGCCTGTGGAGAGTCCTCATGATTACTCTCACACACACACACACACACACACACACACACGCGCACAGCCGTTAGAGAGATACCCGACAGAGTGCAGTGTGTGTCGTCGGTCTCACTTCTATTGTCTGTCTGTGGTTTAGAGGGAGGGACTCAGTGAGACAATGTGCTTGAATCAACCACTTCCCTGCTGAAACACACACACTCTCACACACACACACTCTCACACTCTCACACACACACACAAATACTCGTACGTTCACTCAGCTCTCTAAATGATGATAATCCACAGACTTCTATTGTTTTTATATACTGCTAGTTATTATAGTTGTAACTCACACCGTAACACTAACAGCAAACTTCTGCATTTTTACAATTTAAGAAAAACTATTTTACAAACCATTTTTTACAAATGAGGAAGTCACCAGAAGGAGGTTTTGGGAGGTTTTGTCAGCTTTAGCTCGCTTCTGGGTATAAATTAGTTCCCAAAACACGTATAACTGGCTGTTATTAAGCCTCTCATTAAAAAAACACAACTTGATCCTAAAGAATTTGTTAATTACAGACCGATCTCAAATCTCCCTTTTCTGTCAAAGTTACTAGAAAAGGCAGTATCCTCTCAGCTATGCGCCTTCTTACACTAATACTAGTGTCTTTCATTCTTATTCCGAGGTCACCATACGTATCCAGACCAGACGGTGGATCAGCAGCTAGAGACGACCTCTACAGCCCTGAATGTCAGCGGAGACCCTGTCAACTAGATGAGCCCCAGAGACAGATCCCCTGCGAAGACCTCATCAGCCATCGGCACCAGACGAGTCCTCTGCTCAATCTGACCTGCGCTGCAGCCTGGAATTAAATGACATCATGCTGGTGTCGTCTGGTCAGAGGAGAACTGGCCCCCGACTGAGCCTGGTTTCTCCCAAGGTTTTTCTCCATTCTGTCACCGATGAAGCTTTGGCTTGATTAGCTGGGGATGCTTGACTGATTGCACAGACACTATTGAAGAGAGCTGAACTGGATGATGAATCACTGAATCATCAATGAACCGACTTTAGCTGGAAAATGACTCTGTTATTGTCTTCTTGCATCATTGACAAACTAATATTCCTGTTTGACACTGTAAAGCTGCTTTGACACAACCAGTATTGTATAAAGCGCTATACAAATAAAGGTGACTTGACAATAAACACTCAAACATGAGGGTGCAAAGTTGATCTGAATGTGACTCATATACAGTCAGATGATCACATGACTAACGACAGATCAATCAGCACATGAACATCAGATATTGATCAGAGTGTGAATGGAAACCATTGAGACAACTGTCAATCATACAATCATTAAAACTCAGAAACATCACACACACACTGTACTCACTCTAGTAAAGGCACATAATAATCCCAATCCATGGCTAGTTCAGCTCAGCTTTGCTCTACTGACACGAGCAGCACTAGTACTTCCTGTCTGACTGTCTGTCAGCAGCTGCCGTGGGATTGGAGGACAGATCATGGAAGTGAAAGATGGAGAGGAACACACACACACTCACACACACTTGCATTTGTGGTTTACGGGGACTCTCCATAGGTGTAATGGTTTTTATACTGTACAGACCGTATATATTCTATTGCCCTACACCAACCCTACCCCTAAAAGGAAACTACTGGCAATTTTTGAAATTTCATAAAACACAGTTTTTTGAGCCTTTTGTTTTACGGGGACACAAGAAGTGTCCTCATAAACAATGTTTACGCTGTAGTACCCATGTCAGTATGCACATTTGTGTCCTCAAACCATATATACCTGTGTACACACACACACACACACACACACTTGCTCACACTCACACACACACACACACTTGCTCACACTCACACAGAAACACACACACTCTCTCGCTCTCACACACAGAAACACACTCTCTCTCTCTCTCTCTCACACACACTCACACAGAAAAACACAC